ATCCCTGCTCCCTTCAGAAATATTTATTGTATTATTCCAGTGGCAGACAGCCAGGCAGAAAACGGTACCTTTTATTATGCCTAAAGAAAAAAATATTTTCCATATTATTTTTATGGAACATCCAAGGAAGAAAAGCACAGAACTCTGTTGTCTATTACCTATTGAATGGCAGCAGCACAGTACAGTGCTCTTTTTTCTCCTTGATTTGCTTTTGCAGTTACAAATCTCTCCTAATTTTAGACAACTACCTGATGAATGCAAATGCAATAATAAATTGGTCCTATTAAGAATACATTGTGCTATGGTCATGCCTGACTGACAGCTAATCCATCAGGACCAATAGTCATCTCTTTCTTTATGAAGTTGTAAGCCCTTCCCTACCACTGCTTGTTCCGGTAATTGCTGCAGTATATGCTAATACGATGAAAAATAATGTTTTAAAAGAAGGGAATAGGACTACCAAGCAATGCTACTATAAATGTAAGTCTTGCTGATCATCTCAGTGCCTTACTTTCAGTCCCTCTCACTCTATTTAATGTTAGAACTAGCTACCTGTCATTTGGCTTGTTCTACTCCAAGAAAAAGATGTGTTTCAAGAGGTCATTGCTCTCATGTGTAGTGTCCCCATCATAGTGGGATTTGTTAATCTGCTCAAGGGCAAAGGGACTCTGCCCAAGAATAAGAAAGGTCAGTTGGATACTGCTTTGGTATTCTGGTTAGTAAGTCTACATTAACTCAGTGTCGTTGTTCAGAAACAGTGGGAAAAATTTTTTATATTGTTAATTTATAGTATTTTAATTGATTTATTTGTAAGCCGCCCCGAGGCTTCAGCGAATGGGGCGGCACAGAAATTTTCTAAATAAAATAAATAAATAAATAAATAAATAAAAATATGGTTTACAGAACCTAGGATAAAAATGGGACAGATGCTCATTCTTAGCTAAACAGGCTCAAACGGTACTTATAAATGGTTCAGCATTTGCCTGAAGTGGTGCAACTAAATGGGGTCCCAGGAGATTCTGGTCCGAGTTCAGTGGTATTAAAAGTAGATACCAACTACTTTCTTGAGAGTGTATTTTGTACTGAAGGAAGTAATACAAAGTATGGAAAAAGTGTGTGACAATAGCACCCCTCTCCTGCAGTTGGTATTTAGCAACTGGTATCAGAGGCAGGCTGCCATCATGATTTGTAACTGTTGACAGACATATTTTGCATGAATTTCTCCAACTTCCTTTTAAAGATATGATCACACACTGTAGTAGTACATTCCATAGGAGTATTGTGTGAGAAGAACTTCCTTTTGTCTATGATGAATCTCCTGCCAATCATTTTCATCCGGTGACCCTGATTTAAGTATTATTTATTTGTTTGTTTAGAGTATTTGTATGCCGTCCCATCGCATAGCCTCAGGACAGCTTACACAAATAAGAAAAATAAAATAAAACATAATACAAATAAAATTCAGATCCACCCTGGCTGCAGATTATGAAAGGAAGAAAAGCTTCTATCCACCTTCTCTATACAATAGACAGTTGTAGAAGCTTTGATAATGTAAGTGTGAGATATGAGAGTACTTTTCCACTATATCCTAAACTGGTGAGAACTTTGCTGGAACAATGGGTGAGTTTACAAGACACAGCAATCCATCCTGCAAATGTGCACAGTGTGCGTTGTTCATGGTTTTATGGGTTGCTCATCTGTACCCAACAGATGCATGGACTCAATGTGTGTTGTCCCTACTCCTCCCCCCTTGGTTTTCCCCCAGGTAATCCAGGAACCTATGCAGCATAAGCCATCTTGTCTTCTCTTCCCGCTGCAATGGATTCCCTCTGCATTCTCTCTCTCTTTCTCGCTCTCTCTCTCCCTCCCTCCTCTCCCCCCCCCCCCGTGACTTTTCAAAATCTATGATGTGACAGTCCCTGAAAAGTGCCCAGGGGCAAAATGAATGAACCATTATTGGTTTTCCACTTTTTAAAGTGTATATGGGTCAGAAACATGCACAAATGTTTTTATTTGTATCTTTGTATTATAATTTTGGTCAATAACTGAGAGTTGCACTAATGCACTGAGCCAGGCTTTGAATATCTTATTTTGCTTTCACTTGACAGCTGTCAAATGGCAAGCTGTTAAATGAAAGGAAAACCGCTTGTGGAGCTGGATGACAAGCAGATCAGCATCTCAGCAGCAAGTTCCACTGGGTTTTCAGTGCGGATCTGACAGTTGCCACTGTCCTCTACCTTTTCCATCCTTTCCCACAATTCCAGGTACTTTGAAAGGTGGAAAAGATCAAGTGACCTCCTTCACAGGAATACTTTACCAACTATCAAAAGAAAGACTTTATTTTAAAACAGGATGTTTGATGAAGCTAATCAGGACTTTTTGAAAGGGTTAGGGTTAGAGAAGGAAAGTTGATCAATGTCTCCAAGTTCATGAAGTCTTGAAGGATAAGCATATTGTTCTCCTTGCCTTTGATGGGCAAGATAAATAACTGGCAATATAAGTAAACAGTTTAGAGTGTGCATTAGAAATGTCTTCATAATTTCTTCCCAATGTCAACAGTGGCCGAATACTGTACAAGTTACGAACACTGTGAGAAAAACCTTTATCATGAAGGCATTTAGTAGCAAGCTGACAACAACCTGGTTGGATTAGATTACTGAGATTCAATCCCCGAAGTAGGATGATTGCAGAAATCATGTTTGCATATGTTACTGTGCATATATGGCTAGCTATATAATTTTTTAAAAAAGAAAAGGCAAATGTTGAGATGCCCATAATGCTGTCAAGTATAGGAAAAGATAAATGTTTTGTAAACTAAGTAAAGCCTGCAAACCATATGTTAGGCAATATGAAAGCTTTCTAACTTTAAAAATACATTTTATTAAAAACCTTTTGATGCACTTGACATGAGCAACCAGCATCAGTTGTGGATAAAATTGCCACATCCTTCTGGGCAGAAATAAACCCACAACCTACATCTTCCTTTTCCATCAAACCAAGAAAGAAGTCATTATTTATTGGTCACTGAAAATAAAGTAGTAGTTTTGTACTGTTTGCTGGAAGGCTTTCGAAAGACACAACAAAGATACATGCAGTTTGCTTTTCCCAATATTTAGGTAACTCTTTGGAGAGTTATTATTTTGTGCATAATGAAGCTAAGAAAAAGATCTGTTGTCCTTTCTCGCTTTCCTTCTTAAGACCATTGCCATGTAAGCATCATTGGACAGCAACATTTTCAATGGGGAAGATGTTTACACAGCCATATTCTTAAGGAAGAAAATAGGAGAGGATAATATACCTTTTCCTTAGTTCTATTACATGCAGTAAGTTATGCTGAAGAAATTCACCAACCTGTTAAGGGAAGCTCCAATGGAAAGAGGAAAAAGAACATCCACTAACAAACATGTGGACATTGCTTCTGAAATAACAGTAAACAACTCTAGACACAGCTGTTCTCAGCAGACTGCATCTGTGCTGCTGTATAACTGGGACCAGATCCTCAAAACATCTAAAATCTCCACAGAAAATAGTATTTGCTTAATTAGTTCTTAACACGATACTACAAGCATGCAAACTATAACAAAGTACCTATGTAGTATGCTGCTTGATAAATATATTGCTATATTCCTTGGTCTTGGTGCACAGAAAATTGCCCTGAACTGAGTTGTTAAAACAATTCATACTTCCATTCAAACAATTATTTACCTTCTTGCCCCATAAATAGATCCTGGTATTAAAATATTTTACTGCTACATACACTAGCAGCAGGGAACCATGAGCTTGTGCATGTACAGCAGCACAGCCATGAGATGTTCAGAAGGCTTTATTCTCTTTTTTAAACTAACCAGAGTTTCTTGCTATATCTAAATTGTGACAAATTAATCTGAATTCTGGTTTCTTAACACAAACTAGGATCATGGAAGTTTCTGGTTTGGCTTGTTTCAACAAACAGTACTCTAAACTAACCAGTGTTCCCCCAGGCTTAGTTTGGGGATGACCTGGTTAGTTTAAAATGTGGATGCTTTCAATCACCCATAAGAGAATGAAAGGATGGATGGATGAAAGGAAGAAAGGAAAGATGAGAAAGGAGGCCTATTTCTGCTCATGCATGTAATGCTAACCCATGGATGAACATTATGAATGAGCTGGATCCCTGAACTGGGCTTGAAATCAAGGAAATCAGTGCAACTATACAGAATTTAAAATAATTAGCCTAATAAGACACTAAATACTGTCAGTAAGTTTTACCACTGTGCTGCAAATGAAAATATTATTGCCAAGCAGTGAGATACATTTGAAGAAGACAGGGGCATCAGTATGTACAATCCTGAATGTTCAAGCATACATTTAGAAATAAGTTTACTTTTGCTCTCTTTTATTGTACTACCATTCAAGTATTCAGATGCCCAAGGCCAACGCAGATATTATTTGAAAGGTGCAGATAACAGCTTCATTTTTTTTCATTTTTTAGAGAACCTAATCTGGACTAGGACCCTCACTGGGCACAGGGAAATGTAACCCTCCTCACGCATGAATTCAGTTCAGACTGTAAGCTCTTTCAAGGTCTATCGTTAAACAGAGATCCATAAAGCAGGGAAGTGATGAGGAGCATGAAAAACAATGCAAGAACACTTAATGAAAACCTCCTTCACTTAAAATATTAAAATAAGCTGCTTTTCCATATTATATGGGAACATTTCAAAATACAAATCTTATGGAATATACTGTATTTAAAAATGTTTTGGCCTTCCGTGTGGCTAGTGCCTATGAGGACTCTCAGATATCAACTCAAAGTATTACAGAGCTGGTATGAGGTGGGTGTATTATTGGGTAGAAATGTGTAACAGACAAAAAATGCAGAGTTAATGAATAAAATGTGGGCTGTATTCATTAACAACTAGAAAGCTCTTGCTAGGTCACTTGCTGCAGTAAAAGATTCTACTGGTTCACAGAAATGCAATTAATTATTTAGAGACATAAGATCTAACCCAAACATTTACCTGCTCTGTCTCAGCAAAGTTAGAAACATGGCCATCATCACTGACTCCTCGGATGTGAAACCGAGCACCAGCTCGTTCGCAGCTGACCCGGGAGATGAGACACGCTTTTGCTTTCTTATGTGAAGCATAAAGGGTACGAATATCCACCACACCACAGATCACTTTTAACAGCCAGTCAGAACAATTCACTTGGTAGTGTTTAAAGGGGACATGCAACAGCTGGTTCCTGCAAGATTCAATAATACAGAGTCACTACACATATTGCATATTAATCTGGAAAGAAAACAGTAATATGGTATTCTATGTAAAGTTTTTAACATTTTTGAGAGCCCATGCTATCAGCCATCAGAGAACTTTCCAACCCTGCTTGTTTCTTGAGTACACCCACAACCTCCCAGAATGCCAACAATACAGAGAAGATAAACTTTAGGAATGAGTCAGGAACAGTTTAGGGACAATCGGAACGCAAAGAGACATGACTCAATAGTATGATTTCACTGTATGGACCATGACCCGAAAGTTCAAAGGGAAAGTTTTCAGCTTTTTTAGTAATTAAAAGAACAATGATATGTATATTTAGATAGAAGAAAGTGCTACAACTCCCAGCATTGCCTAGTCTAAGCATGCATCGAATTGTACCCATAAACTTCTTTTGCAATAGCAGTTGAGAAAATTTAATGATTGAAAAAGTATTATCACCTATATTGTGCAATACTTATTGCTTAAGACCCACCAAGCTGAATTCAGTGCACCAGATATTTTGGCTTGCCAGGCCTCTGCTTTTGTAGTCACAAAAAGGCAGAAAATGAAATGCAACAAGTTTACTTAGCTACTACTGAACAGTGTTCAACACATTATTTGTATCTGACTTGACAAGGTAGTACTAGTCAAGTTGGAAGGGAACTATAAGGTCATTGTGTCCAACCCCCTGCTCCACGTCCCCGTGAGGTCTCCCATCCAGCTGCATGCTCTGTGCTTTTCCAGCTTGCGCTTTTCCAGTTTGCCAATGGTGACTCAACATGGTAGCTCAATGTACAGCTAAGGCAGGCAGGCGGGCAACATTATTCAATTATATTATACATTTGTTCTTTAAAGATCACAGTGCTATCAGAAACATATAGTCTACAACTTTATCTGCACCAATGAAAGAAAAATATAACCAGCAATGTAGTGAATGTATAATGCAATATCTATATGGCTTTTGTGCCAATATGAATCTATGTATTTTGATGAAAAATCACTTGCTACTTACTGGGTCTCATTCATTAATTAGCTTTATATACAAATCAAGGCATCAGTTTTCTTTTGAAATACTTTCTTTGCAGCTATCACCCGGGGAAGCAATGTGTGTCTTAATATTCCAGACAGCAGAAATAATCCAGTTATAGTTAAGTATTTGTAAAAGTTCAATTGATTTCAATGGGAGAGTTAAGCATGTATTTATAGTTCTCTTTCTTCAAAACAATGCAGCTGAACGTTGCTTTCACTGTGCCAAATATATAACTGAGCCAAGAAAAATAACTCTATTAACTGTTCACAAAATTTACTTCATATAATGTTTAAGTCTGTCAACCAATCCCTCAAAAGCAAGAATGTTAGAATGCAAGATCCATCTTGTCCAGCCTAATGCTTTCCACAGTGGCCCATCAGCTGCTCTTGCAAAGAACACTCCAGTTATAATAGTACTGCCCTTCATAATTTGGTACTCAGTGGCATGCTGCTTCTGAAACCTGGAGGCTATGGGAGGAATTTCACGTGCAGAAACAGCTCTAGCCTCTAGGCATCAAGTCTAAGAGCCAATAGAAACTTAACTGGGTATATTAACTTAATAAACCTAATATCCCAAGGGGAGAGCAAGTAATTTTTGCTAACTCCCTGGTACTGAGTCAGAGAAAAGCGGGCACAAAAGATAGATTAAGAACCCGAAGGCTTCTAGTGAGTAGAAAACACACATAAAAACCACAGTATTATGTATACACATAGCAAAAGAAAATGCCTCTCTCAAAATAGCCTAGTAGCAGGATATTGAAACATTATTTGAAAAAAAAATATTTGCGCAGAAATGTATTAACAGAAGTCTGTACCATCATCCCACTTCAATTATTTTTCACTCAGCTTTGCTAGTAATAGTTATATCCATTAGGCAACATGAGACGTCCCATGCATGGAAACAACTGACTCAGGTGCATCCCTGCTAAGTATCATTATTACTGTATACATTTTGTAAGTTTCCATTCATTATTTGAATTTTTCCAGTATCATCTGTGTATCATGCAAATTACAACTGTTCTGGATATATTTAAGGCAAGTTGCAAATGCTAAATTGCATGAGAAACATTTGAGCTTTCAAGACTAGTTCATATACACAATGGGGGAACAGAAGCAAAACTCAGGCTTGCAAACTACTGTATATACTAGCATATAGGGCCATTCACATATAAGACAAGGTCAATATTTTGGGCTGTTTTTCTGGTGTTTTATCATATGTTGGGCATATAAGAAGATCTCCAATGTTTGCTTAGCTATTTGCACTTTCACTGGTCATCTTATGTGTAGGTATTTATAGATATTTGTCAGCTGGAAACTTCTAGACAAACAGCCAGGTGGGGAACGCATCCCTTCCTGGCTGCAGCTAAAGTGGAATAGTGTGCTGCTCCCCCCCAGCAAGGGAGGGTGGGTCCTGGACTTGGGACTGGGCTGCACATGAGGCTCACAACACAACACAGAAGACAAATTATGGTAAAGGAAATTTTTCATCTGGCATATAAGATGACCCCTGACTGAGTCCTTCGGAGCTCAGTGGAACTTCCTGGCATGTCAATGTGCATGTGACGGCAATCTAACTTTTAGAAACATGGCATTGTTTCTTCTATGTAAGTATGTTCTCCAGTTATAACTGTAATGCAGTTTTCCACAGATTTACAACTATAAAGATTCTAATCCTCCCTGACAACTGTAGCTGCTGTAGTGAGAATCCCCAAGGATCTGGAGTTTAGGATTGATGAGCCAAGGGTTAGCAAAACTAAATTGTGGAATGCATTACTCACCAGAAAAATGAATTTCCAGTTTGATAGTTGTGATCTCCTTGTTTTTGGGCTCGGACAGTGAGATCAAAGTTTGATCCTGTATTTGGCAAAGAGAAGTAGAACACTCCAGAATTCAGAATTTTCTTCAAAGCAGAAACACGATCCTCTTCCTTAGTTTCTTCCTGGAGAGGACAGAATTCTGTTGCTGTGATCTTGAAAACTTCAGCATCAAGGATTTTCCCCACTGAGGTACAGCCCGTCACAAAGACCAGAAAATGCAGAGTGATGTTGCCTAGAATGTGACAAATACATTGCAATTACATAAGAATATAAATGGTTATGTCATTCTAAGCCTTATTTTTAAAGAAAGCCTTTCAGTCACCTGTACGACATTTAGTGTTTCAGAAGATGACAAATAAGACCTTGTTAATGCTAGTCACTACCAGAAACCAAAAATGAGATGAAGTTCACCACCTGGGACTCACAGGAGGTATGGTAGGAGGTATTGTTACCTTTTTAAATTTTCCTACTCCCTTGTTTCAAATCATCCTTTCACATCTATCAAATACCAAGTATGGGACAAAGAGCATCTGTGCAAATATTAAGATATTTAAGTCTAGCCAATGAGCCCAGTATGTGCTCTTATTCTTAATTTGAATCTTTATGCCATAAATCTAGCTGCACTGTGTACCAACTAATCTGCAACTATATGTAATCAATTTACAGTACTAAACCTGTTTCAATAGCCATGAAAACTTCCTATAATTTTCAAAAATCAAGCCAAAACAACATTTGTTTCTGGTCACTCTCATGACTTTGAAAGCATTTGAAGTTATACTAACATACAATTCACATGGCAGTGTGTTTAAAAACTGTTGCTGCATGCTGTCAGGTTATCTCTGATTTATTAATGCCCTATGAATGAATGCCCTCCAAAATGTCCTGTCCTTGACAGTCTTTCCTAAGCCACAGACAGAGAAAACATAAATATTACAGTGCTAATTAAGAAATGGCCTCTAGAAACCAAACAACAGACAAGACTTTAAATTCCTATTGAGGATCCATATCTGTATTTTTCCTCCCATTTAGATTAGGCTTAGGGTGCCCAAACTGGCCCCCTACCCCAGCTGAATTCAGATCTGGAGTGGGACTCCTACACTAATTGTAGAATAAAAATAAAAAACAAACAAGCTCACAAATTGCTAGATATGAATATACATTCACTCCTGTTTTGGTCCTTATACTTTAAGGAAGAGTCACTTGATATCTGAGTTGAGTAACAGAATCAACTCTAATTGTCGAGGTAGAAGAAAAGCCCAAGTGATTCACAGAGACATGTGTATTCAGTGAAGTCACTTAAGCAGACTTGTGTACAAAGGGAAGAAGGGAGATGAGTATGCTGCTGAACAGGGTGAGTACACCAGTTTTCACCCATTCTTTTCACCTTCCCTGCAGCTGTTGTGCTTGAACAAACTTCTGGGAATCCACCTCATGAAGCATAATATGAATGAGTCACTAAGAACACTATCCTGTTTTACTGAAATTTTGGTGCAGTGTTTTCAATTATTTACCATTTTATGTATACAGTTCTGAGACTGAACAGCGTAAAGACACAAATCTATTCAAGTTTAGACAGAAGAAAAGCCTACAACTCCCAGAACAGCTGGATGAGAAATGCTGAGCATTGTAGGCCTTTTTTTCTGTCTGAACTTATATAGGATTGCATCCTAAAGGTTTTATCAAAATAAACAAGCAATTAATCTACATAATAAACGTCTCCCACTTTCATTACTATGTATTGCCCTGCTGTCAACAGTCTTGTCATGATACACAGCCAAAAGGAACCATGAATTTCCAATGCCTATTAATCACTATGGATACCTTAGACATGAAGACCCCTTCAGTGTTTTCTTTCTGAATGTGATGTCTGTATTAGAAGAGATCACTACCAACTTGGCAGCAACTGAGCAGCCCATGAGGGGTACAAGTCCCTCTTGAGTTGCAAGGGGAGAATGCGACGCACATCAAAAAACAGTAGCCCCCTCCACACAGGTGTCATCTGAAGGGGCACCATAGATACAAAGGGGGAGCACTGCTGAGGTTGTCCAGCCGCTAAGCCTGGGATGGATGAATCAGTCTATTTCCAGTCCATGCCAGGTTTGTTCTATCCTGTCAAAGAATGTTTTAAATTCACCCCAAAATGCGTGGGTAAATAGATTACTTATAGTGTTATACAGCATTGTAAAATCTTTTTTACGGGTTTAAGGACCTTTTTCTCATAGGTAACAGCCTGTTGGAACAGGCAGCATGCAGTTCCTATCACACGCACTGAAATGGAACTGCAAACACCCTTGGAAGTGATGGTACGATGTGTTCCATTGTGCCTGAGGTCTCTGCAGCCTCACTTTCAATATCCGTGGCAGAGGCCACATGTGGACCTAACCAAGTTGCTATTACCTGCATATAAGAGAGAGAGAGAAAAGTTTTAAAAGTTAAAGAGTCAGTATGGGCTGCTGGTTAGAGAGCTGGGCTAGGGCCCTGGGAGATCCAGGTTCTAGTCCCCACTTGGTCTATGAACCATACTGGAAGAGTTCGAACCTGTCACTGACTCTCAGCCTAACCTACATCACAGAGTTGCTGACGTGAGGATAAGATGGAGCTATGTAAGTTGCCTTGGATTCCTCACAAAAGGGGAAAAGGCAGGCTATAAATGCATCATCATCATCATCATCATCATCATCATCATCATCACCATCTTTAAAAGCAGCAATCAGACCACTTTGTAAAGCATTATAAATATTTGAAAATAACATTGCCAGATGTTGTAAGAATAAGAAATCTGACATTTGTACCTTCTGATCTGCACATTTGTCTAAGAAGTGCAGATCAATTCAGTTCATTCTGTAAAACAGAGCAAATGAATTGAGTATCTCTTCATCAACCTCCACTCTCCCAATGACCATGCATCATGTATAGGCACAAATGAAGCCTATGCACTTACGAGATTTACATGCATCAGCTTCAATTATGTAGATTTCCATAGTTAAGCATGGACCTCAGAAGGAGCACACAAGTGTGCAGGCTAATGACACAGTCTCATTGCCCTTCTGTACCTATAAGTCCCATTTCATGAAAATAATTTAGTGAAATTCATGTGTGAAGACTACGGCTGCAATCAAAGATGCAGGATTTAATCTTGGAGACACAATTTTTTTCAGAGATCTCTGAGAGCAAACTTTAAAGTTTACATAGGAACAGTAGGCATATATTTAATGAAATATTTTTCAAAGTTTTGCTTATAAATGCAAATACATGTCTTGTAATGCTGACTTTTTGTACTGTTCCTGCAAAAGCACTCAAAATATATGGTACAGAGCCAAAATGCTTTGGGCTGCACCAAGAAAGAAAACTTTATTTTTTTCATCCAGTGACTTTGTCTTTCCTTTCCATCATTTGATTTTGGAGATTTTCTGGTTCTCTCTGACTCAGGAAGAAATCCTGCCTGAAACCACAGAGAGTCAGTATAGACAGTGCAGGACCAGAAGGAACACTAGTCTGACTTATCTTCCTATTTCCACATGACAGAAAACCTGCCTTTCAGCCTTTATGCCAAGCACAGTCAATCTGCTACAGGAGCTAATGGTGCCTACTCCAACTCCCTCTCAGCCAAAGCACTCACAGTATAGTCCAAGTCTCAGTTATGGAGTTGCAGTCAAAAATTTTCATATGCCACCCAAAAGACCAAAATGTTTTAAAGAAAATCCTCTCCACTAAGCCTATTATTTTAACATATCTATGCATCCAAATGTTTATCCTATGTGTACACTAAGCTTCCAAGACCATTTTTTAGCATGCATTCTCCACTGTGTAGCCTAAACAATAACATTATTCCACATTCCCCATATCAATATTCACAGTAACTACATACACCCACATAGCAGATTGGATGGAGGGATGCATCAAGAAAAAGAACTTAAAGAGACTGGAAGGTACTTGCAGGTCCCCCTTGCAGCAGATCTTATCAGATTCTCCTTGGTGCTTCACCTGGATTCACGCAAACATCCTCCTTTACAATCATTAAACAGGTGTAGCCTCCATTAGCTAGCCAAGAGAAAGAGTCCTGTACTGCAAGCTCCTAGGATTAGACTTAGTCCTGGTTCTTTGCAGACTTCTCAGTTGATATCCTCCATTCACTAGCTCTCAACTACCATTCCTCTTCCTGCTGTTCTTCATTCCTTTGTACTGGAAGGCAGGCCTTCCTTTCAGTCAATGCCCAGTCTTTAATTGCTGGGAGTCAACAACACCTGAACCGCTTGTAGAGCAGCTTGCAGCTTTGAGAATTATTCTGCAATTTGCCCAAGGTTTCTGAAGTCAGATCCTTCTCTGCATAGTAACTACCCCCTTCTTCTCTGTGCACCCAAAGAAAGCTCTCCGGGGTCTTCAAGGACACTGACTAATCACACAAGCCATGGTTGGATTGTACTGTAATGCATGCTGGCCGTCCTGCTAAATATGCAAGCTGCAGTCAATCATGTTGCACAAACCTGGCAACAGTGCCAATAGTTTATGTGAGGTTATTTAACACTCACATAGGCCAACCTTACCATGATGCAGTAAGTCATGGTGTCTACTTGGTGCAGCTTAAAGATATAAAAAGTCTGCCAGCTTGCACCACAATCCACTATGGCTTAAGCAATTATGTGAACTGACACACTGTGGTATGGTTTGCATATGATTTTAAGTGATGGTATAAATTCTAGAAATTTGGTTTGTTGCTGTCTCTGAACTCATCCCTACTATGGTTTATTGAGCAACTTCTAAACCACAATTAGAACACACGGTGTCCTGTTGGCTTATGAATTCTGCCTTGTTTACATCATAGCTTGTCATGATGTCTCAACCCAGAATCATGACTTATCCTGGGCATGCCTGATTTGCTTCCACCCTGAAACAGAAGTGGAAGGGCAGCCTAAAAATAAAAACCCTCCAAATGCTGGTAAAATGCACAAAAGAAAAACAAACCAGAAACAGGCAACACAACTTGTGGTATGTTTGTTAATCTGCAAGACAATTCATGGCTAAAGCATCAAGTCATGGGTAGCGTAACAAACTATGGTTTACTGTTATACACAAATTTTAGAGCAGAGCCTAGAGTTTAAATTTTAAGAATGCTGGACATGTGTAAATGTAAACCAATATATTTCATGACTTGCCCTTGGAAATACAAAATAATGTTTGTAGGGATAGAATTTGATAGGGAATATTAAACAATTCACATAATGACAATGTCTGTTTTGATTTGTCTTTCTTGTTATACATATATATGTCCCCTACACACATTGTTAGTGTTACACATTGTGTTAGATGTCATTATACATACAGGTTAGATTTAATTTCCCATATCGTATCAGCTAATATAAATAACTTTTGAGGTACACACGAAAACATGCATGACTTTTAATTCTGCTTTAGTCTTTTGCAACAAAGGTAAACAGCTTTTCTAGCTCAGTAGACCAGATACAAGTTCTGGCTTTTGAGAAGCATTAACCTGGCAATAAGCTTTACAAAATTCACCAACCTTACAGAACAAACGGCAAGGCAACAAAGAAAGCCTTGTGCCATCACATTGCATGGGAACATAAGAAAAACCAAGCTAGTGAAGAACCATTCAAAGCCTAACTAGTCCAAAATTCTCTTCATACAGTAACCAGGCAGCTGCTTGTGGGAAGCCCACCAAAAGGATATGAACCTGATAACTTCCTTCCATTAATGTTTCCCCAGTAATTCCACAATCTAAGCATGCACTGTTTGATTGATAGAATAGATTTGGAAGGGGCCAGAGTGCCATCAAGTCTAACCCCTGTTCAATACAGGACTCCAAGTTAAACCATCCCTCTCAGATGGCTGTCCAGTTGCATCCTGTGTAGGAGAGTTCACAACCTCCCAAGGTCATTGGTTCCATTGTCATATTGCTCTAACAATCAGGAAATTCTTCCTGATATCTAGCCAGAATCCAGCTTCCTGTAACTTGCCCTTTTCATTCTGTGTCCTGCACTTTGTGATGATCAAGAATAGATGCTGCCCTTCCTCTTTGTGACAGACTTTCAAGTACTTGTAGAGTGCTTTCATATCTCCCCTCAGTCTTCTCTTCTTAAAGTTTTCTTTCACATTCTTTCAATTTCTCTTCAGAGGGCTTTGTTTCCAGTCCCTGGATCATCCTTGCTGCCCTCTTCTGAACCCTTTCCACCTTTTCTGAATCTTTCTTAAACTGTGGTACCCAGAACTGGATGCAGTACTCCAAATGAGGCCTAATCAGTGCTGAGTGGAATTAGTACTTCACGTGATTTGGAAGTGATACTTTTATTAATGCATCTCAATTAGAAATACTTTCTTTTATACCTCATTCACTCACCATTTAGCTTAACTAGATAACCCCTCTAGGTTCCAGTATTAAGAAGAAAGAAGAAAAACTTAGCACTTTCTACTTTCTCTACATTATTCACAATTGTGTACCTGATTCGTGCTTCCCTTGTTCACTTTCTAAAACAATCATAACTATCCCAAGCTCAAACAGGAGTTGCTTCAGCTCCTTGATCATTTTGATTGCCCTTTTCTGCACTCTTCTTGCCCCACAATATCCTTTTTGAGATATGTTGATCAGAACTATTTAAAGAGTGGTACACAGTATAGATTTTCATAAGGCTATCCGATATATACTGTTTCCTTTTGATTTCTATCTTGAATTATGCCCAACATTCAATTTGCATTTTTCATGGCATCAACAACCTGGGCTGACATTTTCAGTGACCATGAGCCCCAGATCGCCTTCTTTCACCCAGGAGTTGGGTTGCTAAAGGACTTTTCCACAAGTCTCTCTGTTTCTCTCATCTTCTCCAAATTGATGGGTTTGTATTTTTTTCAACTTTGGCAGGCTCAAAAGGGATATATCATTCTTCTTTTAGTGAAGTAGATGATTTTGCCTTTCTAAAGTGATGAGACACTAGTTTAATAAAGCAACATCCTCAGTCATTCTGCAGAATTTTGTAAGACTTCCTGTCTAATGAGCCAGTCAGATCAGTAATGCTTTTTTAAAAAGCTTTTTGTCTGTTGTACAGGCCAACTACTCAACTAGGCCAAATATTTGGATTTCAGCCTGTTTAGTTTCCAGACTATGATGAACACACATTTCAAAAGAGTTTTCCACCTAGAAGCTGGATTAGGCTACTCTTGCCACAGCTAGAACTACTTTTTATTATTAAGCATTCTGGAAAATATGACATGCACTTTACAGCTTTCTAACCTTCTACAGTACCAGGACCCACCCAGCCTGTACCAGCCATCTAAGCACATGAACTTTTTGCAAGAAGCAAAGTGGGCAGGCAGACAGAAAGTCATATATAAAAGAAGCCAGAGCTTCTGTATACTCCCAGATATCTTGGATACCTCACATTCCCTGTTATAAATACTGGATGACAGAAATTTGGTTTCTGACCCATTTCGTCTCTTGTGCTCAGCTGCCCACACTCCAGCCTACTTGCTACAATTTTAAAATAACATTTTTAATCCTTAAATAGTTTTACACTCATACAAGAAACAGACAAAGAATGAGCTCTGAAATCTTTTAATTTGCCATTTCAGGCATCCAGGATTGCCAGAAATACGGAGTTCCACTCAGAACTCCAAAAGCCCAAGAGACAAAGGAGCCAGTGTGCTATCCACTTCAGTGTTGCATTAGTCTCTTTATTGACACTCTGCTATTGTCTTCAGCAGGTAGGAAAAGAGGGTGGTAAGGGAATATCAGGGCTCAGTCCTATGCATAGTTAGACAGAAAAAGATTTACACCCACAGCTATACTTGCTGGGTAATACTGGGAGTTGAATAGTATTTTTCTGTCTAAACATGTACTGGATTGTATATCTAGTGATTTGAGTGTCTTGTATAAGTCTTTATCTGCCGTTTGAGCTTTCAATATTTTGTGTTACAACCTGAAATGGACACATGGCAAACAATGTAACTGATGTACAGAAGACATGCCATACTATAAAATGCTTTTTTATTGTAGCCCAAAAGTTAACAATAACCACAATGAAAAATTGGCACTTCTTGGGACCATAGATATTCGCCTCCCTGAGCCAATACTTGGTAGAAGCACCTTTGGCAGTAATTACAGCTGCGAGTCTTTCAGGATAAAGTCCTGTGCTTTTTGCACATTTGGATCTTGCAATACTTGCCCATACTTCCTGGCAAAACTGCTCCAGTTCTGTCAGGTTGGAGGCAACCGTTAGTGAACAGTAACTTTCAGGACTTGTGAAAGATTCTTAATCAGACTGAGGTCTGGGCTTTGGCCAAGCAATTCTAAGACATTCACATTCTTGCTTTTAAATTACTCCCGTATTACTTTGTGTGTTTAAGGTTACTGTGCTCCTGGAAAATGAACCTCTGCCCCAGTCACAGGACCCTTTCAGCCTGGAACAAGGTTTCCTCTAGAATTGCTCTAACCCAACGGTGCCCCTGAGCAATTTTATCCTGAAGTTGTTTTGATAGCTCCTTGATCTTCATGATGCTGTTTGTTTAGATAGGCTTTCCAAGGAACTCTATGATCTTTGAAGAAATACTTGTATTTAATTTAAGGTCATGTGGTAGAGGAGGACAGCTATATATACAGTATGTGAGTTCTGGGGGCAATGGGTTGCACCAGGGCTTGTGCATTTGCGGATGTCACAGCAAAGAGGGTGAATACTTATGCAACCAACAAGTGCCAGTTTGCTTTTTTCTACTCACCCTTTGTGCCACAACTGAAATAGTCACAGGGATGAATATCTTGTGTACATCAAGTGGTAACAATGCCAATTAGATCCATTTCAATTTCAGGTTGTAACACAAGAAAAAATGGAAAAATCAAAGGGGGTTGAATACTTTTGCAACACACTGTATATCCTCTGACAGTGCCTTAAAAGCTTCTAAAGGCAGCATCTACCGCTGAAGACCTGGAAATAGGAACCCATGCAGATGGCTGCAATATTAAATCCAAAGACAGTACTATTCTCATTTATGCTGAAAATGCTATGTTCAGGAAACTGATATTGGGATGTCATCAAAGCAGAAAATTGCTAATTGCAACACTGTAGTCTTACTTATCCGTGAATGAATAAAACTAGCAATTCAAAATAAAAAGAAGGAATAGCGTATCATTCAAAAGGTCTGGTGAAAAGGGAGCTCCTATAGGACTGCCATATTTTTACAAGCAGGAACTCTGTTCTTAACGGCCGTGTGGCAGACAAAACTGAACAGTAGCAGCTTCCTGTGCCTCTGCAAATTCACAGCAGAGACATGCTTACCTGCAGCATTTCTGTCTGTCAAGACACAGAGCCTCTACCTATAAGTGGCAACTTCACCTCTGTCTTTCATAGCTATCTGTCAGACAGACACCCAGAAGCTACCATTTTTCTGTTGCTGTAGAGATGTAATTTGAAAGTTTTCACTTGTTGAGTATAGGTATAAAGCACACAGCCACAGGATGAGAAGAAGGCCAGGAACTATCACTCCTATAAATGAGACCCAAAACCATAATTCTATGTATTTCTCAAGATGTTCAACCTCCTTGAGATCAATGCAGCTGGCTTCTGACTAAGTATGCCTATGGAAACCAATAGCACAAAGCAGGTAAGGATCAAGACAAAGTTAATGAAGGAAAGAAAAGTTGTTTTCAAGTTTATTCCAGAAGATATTATCAAGTCATGGAAGGGTTAAAAGAGAAACCCTAAACATAGTAATCATGTTTAAAGCCTTTAATCAAATAAAGCACAAAATGAGTCTCTTTTTAAAACTTGATCTTTGAAGGTTAGCCAAAGACTTTTCAATTCCCACAAAATTAGCACACATGTCATTTATCTGAATTATCTACAATGACATAATAGATCAACAACTTACCAGATTTTAGCTGTAGTTCTCCTAAGCACCCATAAGCATCCATGAGTTTCTCATATTGCCCTTTAATTTCTTCCTTTTCTTCAGGCGCTAAAGAAATCACAGAATAAAAGGCAACAATCCTTTATTTGTTCACCCAGTGACAATATAATAGGACAACAGAAGCAGGCAAAATCTAAATTTCTTTAAGCATATAGTTTTGGTCAGGAGTGGGCAATCTGGTGCTGTTGGGCACCAAAGCATCCCTGAATGTTTTCTTTGTGCCCACCAAGGATCCCTACTCCTGCCACTTTTTTTTCAATTAACTTATTTTCTTACTGGCAGCTAAGATCACTGTTCTAAGTGTAATTGTTCCCATTATGTGAACAAATTTGTGTCTCTCATTAGACTTAATACTGGAACTGTTACCAAAAGCATGATAATGTCTCTTATTGCAAGAAACAAAATGTGTATTCAGGTTTACAAAATAAGCAGATTTGCTGATGTAAATGTATTTTGAAAATTTGAAAATGTCAGTATTTGGGCAGTGATGTGTTGTGCAACCAATGACAGAATGAGAAGAACCAGGACTTTTTTTTGTCATAGAATGCACCAGAACGGTGTTCCAGCACCTTTTTTTGACGGATTTTTCCAAGGGATTTTTCCAAGTGATTTTGAATCGTCCTGTCGGGCATAGCAGGTCGGCGGCAAAAATCATTAAAATAGTGCATGCAGGCTGCTTGTGTGTCCGCTCTGATTGTGAGGGCGCTGCTCAGCTTGGGTCGCTGCTCGCCTTGGGATTGGTCGTGTGGTCGCGTGCTGAGTGCTTACTGCCGGCGGCGACCATTTGTTTATGTGTGTGTAGAGTGACTGGCTACATGCAAAGGATAAATAAGTTCTTTATTTCAAAAAAAGTTGGTGAATTGAACATCTTTTTTAATGTAAAAGTGTGACCCCAAGATGTGAGTTCCGGCACCCTTTTTTTTTTTTACAAAAATGCACTGAGAAGAACTGAGTACAAAAATATTTTGTGACAAACCCAAGATAATTATTTGTGACACTTAATCTTGGAGGAATTCAGGTGACAAAATTAAATGATAATAGGATCTGAACCTTATGGATGATTGATATTACTCATTCACTACAAAAATTTACAGTGGTACCTTGGTTCACGAATGCCTCAGTTCATGACCAAATCGGTTCACAAACAAAAATTTCAGAAAAAAATTGCCTCCGTTCGCGAAGTCCGCATCAGGTGATGACCACGATCACGGCCATGTTCCCACATGAACACAATGGCAGTCATCTTCCCTGAACAAACATGATCGCGATCGCAGCCATCTTCCCCACACAAGCAAGATTCCAATCGCGCCCATCTTCCCTGCTCGCGGTTGTAGACAGACCTGTGGTCACTTGCTGCGAAGCTTTTTTGTGTGCTGCTAAGCACATACAGTATTGTAAATTATTATTCAATAATAATATTGAATAATTGCTCCAAAGAAAGTACAGAGCAAGCATGGTGGTAAAAACAATGTGCAGAGCGGTAACGAAGGTGACCGGAACATGCAGATTTTTCGCCAAAATTGACCCTGCAGCTAAGAGGCAAAGGAGAGGAAACCCCTGAAGGAGATCTCCCCAATGTCCTTACAGAGGGGGGTTCTCTCTCCAAACAATAACCTCCCCCACCATCTAGGTTAGTGTTCTCTACTGTACTGTACTTTGTTACTTTGTTGTTCTTTGTTACTTTGTTTCAAATTTTTTGTGGTTAAAAAAAAATATTTACAGAATGGATTAACCTTATTTACACAGAACCTTACTGGGAAATTTGACTTGGTTTGCGACCAAAATCAGTTCGCAACCACGTTCCCAGGGGTCAGAACAGATTAACCTTATTTACATTCAACCTTATGGGGGAATTTGACTTGGTTTACAACCAATTTGGGTCGCAACCAGAATCATGGAACGAATTACGTTTGTGAACTAAGGTTCCACTGTACTACAGCTGCAGCACCTAGAGCAAACCTGATCCCCCCAAGTAAAATGAGGCAGAGGAAGAGGGCAGAAATCTGGATAAACGAACAACTGAGAGGGGAAAAATAGCACTTTGCTGCTGACCTGAAAATATTCTTTTTGTAATAAAGAAACTTCATAGGAGTGGAGAATCTTTTCCATTCTGAGGGTCATATTCTATTTCAGAACAGTTGGGGGAGTGTCTACATTCCTGTGATAAATGGGGCTGAACCCCCCCCCCATTCTACTGTTAGCAATTCTGAATAGGAAACATGTCTGCTCAAAAGTATGCATGAGTGGAATGCAAGTCTCTGCATGATTACCTCAGAAGGAAGAGAGCTGAATTATTCAGCAACACTTTAATAGCATGTCTACTTAGAAGTAAGCATGAGTGTCATATATATTCAAAAGCAAGCTTCTGCATTACTACTAAGAAGGCAGGAGGACTAAATCGCTCAGCAGCATCCACCTTGGCTCTGCCCCAAAGGAGAAAAAAAAATATCCGTGATCAGCAGCTAAGTGGCTTCAACTGGGAAAGGAAACCTGATCAGAAACAAGAGATGCTCATCTGTGACAGAAAAGCTAGGACAAGAAACTGCCAGGCCAGTTGGAATATCCCAGCAAGCTTTATCATGGAAGTTCCCAACCCTGGTTTAAGTCATAATAATTATGCTAGAGAATTTAGATACAGAAAGAAAACTGGGGGAATCAGAACAGAAGCCTGAGGAACTCTACCAATGGTGTGGTAAGGGTGAGCAAGCAAGACACTATTTCTCAATGGAAAGATTAAATGAATAAACTGAGACAACTGAGAGCCGATGCTGCTAAGAACAGACTCATGGAGAGCTAGGTCATGCAGGAAGATGTGCATGCGAAAGAGGGCCATGACTGAAAAGTCAAGGGTGGTGCAATGTGAAAATCATCCGTGTTCTCAGCAAGGGTAGCTTCAGTGGAGTGCAGATGGAGCAGGCACATTGTAGGGCAGCCTTTCACACCCTGGTGCCCTTTAGATAAGGGGTCTCCAACCCCCAGGACGCAGACCACTACCAGTCTGTGGCCTGTTAGCAACCAGGCTGCAAAGCAGGAGGTGAGCGGTGGGCAAGCAAGCGAAGCCACACCTGTAGCCACTCCTCAGCACTAGCACAACTGCCCCAGCCTCATCCTAGACCACCAGGCACCAGACCTTCACAAGGAGCATGCAAGCCAGATCTCCTGTTCCTCTTCTCCAATTCTTATGGGAGTGTGAACTCTGCTGTGGACTGCATGTGCATAGGAACAGGAGCCTCCCAGCCAGGAAGGGACTTGCAGGGGCACATACTGGGTTCCTGTGCAGCCAAGCGGGGGGCAATGGTGGCAGAGGACGAGGGGACCACTCCCACTGCTCCGGGTCAATGGGCGCCTGCTCCGTTGGATGAAACACCACCACAGGGTGCACGCCACAAACCCAAGAGCCACCTGGGACGCTGGCAAAGCGCAGGGCATCCCAGCGCATGTCAGCAGGCCGCCTTTTGCCAGGGGAAGCTCCACGCACAGTGTGCTGCTTGCAGGCGAATGGGCAGGGGCTGTCGCAAACCACTCCCACCAGGTCCTGATGAGGAGCCCTCCTCATTGGAACATGAACCCCACTGCAAACCATGCATGCGAGGGATCCAGGCCCCATGAAACTCCAATGCCTGATGATCTGAGGAGGAGCCAAGGCAGTGACTCCAGCGCTAGGGAGCATCTGCAAACAGATGAAGCCTCGCTAGCCTGCCCGTCCCCCGCTGTACAGCCCAGCTCCTAACAGCTCCAAGTGATTCTGCATTATGGTATTTTGTATGCTTATTTCATTATATATTATGATGTAATAATAATAGAAATAAAGTGTATAATAAATGTAATGTACTTGGATCATCCTGAAACCACCCCCTCCTGGTTCATGGAAAATTTGTCTTCAAAACTGGTCCTGGTGCCAAAAAGGTTGGGGACTGTTGCTCTAGATGTCTTGGACTTTAATTCTAATCAGCTCTAGACAGTACAGTGAATAATCGGGGAATGCTGGTAGTTGGAATCCAAACCAACTGGATGGCACCAAGTTGGGGAAGGTTATTTATAGAATTGGAAGAAAGAAAATCAAAACAACAAAAGCAACCAGCAGGAGTTTGGAGGAAAAAGAAAGAAGCAGGATCAGGTGGTAGCTAAAGGCATCTGCTGAAGAGGAGCTGTTCCACATAAAATTACTCTCCTATTTGCTAAAATACTTTTACAGCTCCAACATATTTAAGTCTCTTTTATACTACAAGCCTCAAATAAGGCCCATTGTAGTTTGTAGGACTTACTTCTAAGGAATTATACACAGGATCAGGCCACTAGCTTTCTGTCACAATGGGCAGGGCACATAGCCTCTTCTTTTGCACTTTTCAGGAGAATTTGGCATGTGAACTGCCTTCATCCTGGTAACAGATGGGTACTGGAAGAATCAGGCAGGGATGCTTCCTGAAGAAGTCTATCCTTATGGACTGAGCATCTAGGATACAGAGTTTCATGCAGTGTGAATACATTTTAGGGATTATCAATTGTGTGTGAACAGCCTATCTTCAGGCCCAGTCAAGGTAAGCACTACATTTTAGGCATTATCCAAAGCCCTCTAACATCTGCACAGATAATTCCTTGCTGTTAGATTCACTGCTGAGAATTCCCACTGTGGTCCTGGAACTTTCTTACACAAAGACCATAGGGCCATTCCCTGTGCAAAGTTTCATACATGTATCAGTGAATCCAATGAATGTACTGGAGCCCCTGGATTAAGCCATTTCATGCTTCCCTGGACAAAAGAATTATTGTAGCAGTAGACAGCTGAACTGTAAAAATAAGGGGAATGTTTTGACATTTAAAAATGTAAACAGAGTTTTGAGAATGCAAGCAGTTTTTGAACTTTGCCATATCAAACCTCAGAGAAGAAAAGAGAGTTGAAACCACAGAGTTCATTCCCTTATTTGAATCAGCAAGTAGAAATCTGTTTAGAATAGCCTAACAGTTAATGGTGCAAATAAAGCCCTCATACCAAGGTTTTTCTTTAATCAGCATAATGCACTTAATGGTCTGGAAGCGGCAAGACATCA